TGTAACTTCTTTTTAGAACTTTGGATTTGGAGGTTTCTTGCCCTTGGAGAATTGTGGCTCTGCCCGGTCAAGAGATCAACAGGGGAGAGATGCAAAAAAGAAGTTTTTTATATTTTATTATTATTATTATTATTATTATTATTATTATTATTATTATTATTATTATTATTATTATTTTATTAAAAAATAAAATACTATTATATAATATATAATTAAAAAAAAATTTTTAAATATTTTAATTTTTGGTAAAAATCGATTAGAGATAAAATTATAGAATTTTAGCAGGCAAATTTTCCTGCTAAACCTGATGATTTAAGAGATAAAATTAAAGTATTTTGAGCTCAATAAGCAATAGTAAATTTTATTTCAGTGAATTAAGCTATTATGGTGCATAATCTCTAAACTCATCATTAATTGTATTTTATAAATTCTATAAGCTTCTTCACTAAGTACATGTAGTAAATACAAAAAAGGCCTATTATATCATATTCACGGATTAGATTTTGTATTTATTTCTTAGTAAAGACGGTTATAGAATTTATAAAATACAATCTATTTATGAGTTTAGATTTTATGTAAAATTTGATACTTCTAGTATTTACGTATAATTAAAAAAGCTTGTATAGTAATATGATTTAAAATTAAAAATTTTAATAGTGACGATGATATGTTTTAAATTTAAATTTACATCAAAAAACTTTAGATCAGCAATTATTAAAAAGAAATAGAATTGCAGCAGCAATTAGACCAAAGCCAAAATTCTAATTTGAATATTTAATTACAAATTTGCATATAAACTAAGCTATAAAGGAATACGAGTCATTGAATTGCCAGCCGACTTGGGCGTTTCGAAGTCCGTTTTCCGATAACGATTATACCCGCGACACACTATTATCGTGTCGTATGTGCGTGCAAGTATATTGAAGCCCAACACTATGGAAGTGACGATAAGTGTTGAGAGCGGGATAATACTGTATGATACAGTTGAGGTTTTGTACATAATCTATTAGAAATGTAGAAAAGTCAATTATTATTGGTTGACTACGTATACTGGATGCATCGATTATTAGTAACGGTATCACTCACCTGAATTATAAGTTGTGGAATATCTTCAATTAAGATATCAAGAGCCGCGCCCAACAGTATCAAATTATCCGCTTCGCCTTGAAACGGCGCATTGAACCATTCCAGCCCAAAAATATGTGACGATAAAATACCAATAACTTCTATACTAGAACCACCTAATAATGTAAAGAATGTCGCGATTTTTGTGTGCTCTTCGAGCCATTTAGAGAATTCTTCGTATTTACGCGTTTGTCTGAGTAGAATAATGTAGCCCCAGGAGAAATTCATGACAAATGGAAATATGTAAAAGAACATGCTAAAGAAAGTAATTTAAATAAGTTTTTCTGAGTCAATAGAATTTTTAAAGTTTATAATTCGTTTATTTACCTCGGTAAGAAGAGACTCGGAACGTCGCTTGAGTTGTTTATTACGAAAAGAGTGTCAAATGTTAAATCGACAATTGAAAGCACAACTCTGAATATTATCATATTCTTTGCCTAAAAAGTAATACAGCAGAAAATTAAGTATGTATCGAGAAATAAAACATAAAACTTACAAAGTTGACTTGACTCACATCTTTGTTTTTTCGGCGTGCGATAAAATAAATTACTATTAATGCTACAGATACTACAAGTCCACCAATTAATCTGTATCTAATTTCTCCCCATAAATTTGCTATTTTTAAAGAATCAGAAAGTTAAAACACATTTTATTATCATTAACACAAACATCAAATATATTATCGTTATCTGAACTTACGAATCGTTGTGAATCCATAAGTTTCATCTAAATATTTCGTATAATTATCATTTGCTAGCCCCGTCACATATTTGTCACTTATCAACATGTTAACCGACGAAACAATATTTTTGACATTAGGTTTTCTTAAATCTTTAACGGGCAACACCTCAAATTGTAAAAGCTGTTGATCATTGGAGTCTGGGTCTGATTGTGACTTGTACTTTGGAACGATCCGATTAGAATCAATTGGCAAAATTTCTGTTAACGTGTGTTTTATTCCGTCAAAAAATCCGATCTTTTCAGAGTGGTTGAGATTTAGGAACATAGTTGAGCCCTCGCGCGACAATCTTACTAATGACACAGCGTAATCTTTGATAACAAAAATTCAATTTCAATATAATGCGAGAAATGTTTAAGTTTTAATCCTTCGCGATGCAACTTACCAACATATACCGTATCAAATTCAACTGTCAAGAATAACATTAATGAATGATATGTTAAATTTAAAGAATAGCAGATAATTAATGATTCAATTTACCTGGATCTGTTGTAAGGTTCCATAAATAAGGCTTGATTCCATATAACGGCTCATCTTTCAAAGCAGTTTTGACAAAATTATTTTCGACCACAACATAATATTTTGTATTCGGGAGACTAAACGTAGTTGCTAGAACCGTGCACGTGATTTTATTTGGATCAGTTGGGCTCACTTCACATAAATTTGTTTGGGCACTGATTGTTTGACGTAGCAGATCTGTCGCGTTTTCGCGATACTGATAGATTGATATATTCGCGGAAGCCAATACAACTGGGTATCGATATGTAAGAGATATTCGATCTGACCAACCGACGTTTACGCTTTTGTTGTGAGGTGACACTTCGATGACATTTGGATTGTAGAATCCAAGATCTTTTACCAACAAAAATAATTATTAATCGATTAATTACACACAAACGAAGAAATAGAGAAAAAATTTGCGTACTGTCTTCAATCATTTTCGGGATGTCACACGTAATTAATGACCAACTGCTATTATCCACCAAATGTTGATACGACAACCATATAGTATTATTTGGCAGAATCCCTTGAGCAACAAACGTATCTAATGGCATATCACCAAGTTTCCAATTATTAACATATGTCGAGTTGGGACTGTAAATGAGGCCAGTGAGTTTCTCAGCAGTAATATTCAAACTTATTATGATGTAGCCACCGTAATATAATGGACGAATTTTGTAAATCCATGATTGGTTTACTGCAAAACTATGCTCTCCTTCGATATTAAATTGTTCAATAGCCAAAATTGAGCCTGTTGAATAGAAATCGACCTTCAAAAACGCTGATTCTACTCCTTGCGTAGTTGCATTCTGGGTCTGTCCTAGTAATATGCATGTATACCTAAGAGAGAATCAAAAATATTTCATATATACAGTACAGTATTTATTATAACTGAAGGCAAAGGTATACACGATATAAAATATTACCCGCTCGAATCATAATGTGCACTGCAATCACATATTGACAACTCAGACAAATTCATAACCGTCTGGTAAACCAAAAACATTTGATTATCTTTCAAAAAGGTCGTATATGTGAGCCATATTGGTGATAAAGGAATGGTGGAATTATCAGCATTATAAATTTGTTTTTTATTGCTTTTCGCGGTAAATGCTATTCCGTAGTTTCCATCTACTGTAGGAAATGCTTTTGCTCGACTAAAGTTTGTCCCTGGAGGTGATGTGATAACATTTGTCTTCACAAGAGAAATCTGACCTTTCTGATCACTATTAAATATAGAAATTCGATGAATTTATTATAGTCCGTCTTTTCAAAAACTAGTATTTGATTTATGCATAATAAATAAAGAAATAAAACTGACGGTGCAGTGAACTGGAACCATACGACATTAGTTTCAGAAATTTGTGCCCATAAAAATCCTTTGGAGGGATTAACGTTAAGTACAAAGTATTGATAATAACCAATAACGGTAGACTTAACTAAATCAAAGGGACTGAAAAATTCTCAAAAATGTTAATACATGTATTGAGAAATTGAATCAATTATAGCACGTACCCAAAAGTGATTTCTCCGTTCCAATTTGCAATGATCGCGCATTTATATCCGATTTCTGTGGGTGTATCCGTAACATACGTAATAAATATATTATTCTCCGTCAACGCATAAACATACGTCCGACTATTATTATAATTCCCAAGAAATCCCACTTCTATATCCGTCGCTCGTACAGTTCCATTTGGAAAAACCAATCGTAATGATATTTTCGTTAGATTAAAAGTTGCGCTTGGTAGGAGATGCAGTAATACTGTCCCGTCAGGGTAAGATGTAGCATCTTGATCGTTAATTATAAAATCTGATATCGACTCTGTATACGTTATACTATTGTTATAGGCGGAATATGAACATGAAAAATTTATTGAGAGTATCAGTAAGAGAAACAAAATATTTTGTATTCTCTCCATTTGTAAAAGATTCGATTATTTACAGTTTTGCAGTTTTTTAATACTAAATATTTATGACAGAAAATGCGTTTTTGCCACTTTTATACAAGTACTTTTATAGCATTTTTTGTATTCGTTAAATTCATATTATAATCTAAATTGGTAATTGGATTTATTCAAATTTTAAGATGATGATTGTACGTAGTTAATTAAAATATATCTGGAAATCAACAGGTTACGTACTGCTTCCAAAAATATATCGATATATATTTGTATGAAATTCAATGCTATTGGTTTCATCTAAAACCTACATGATAAAACAGGCCAAAAAACCAAGAATCAATGAATTTAGCGTAAATAACATTATCAGCTACATCTATTAACATTAAATAGGTCATAAATATGCATTAATGTTGTACTTAATGATACAAACAATAAAAAATTCCATTGAAAAACCCACATATGGTATAGCGATAGTGTATATTCAATAATGTTTTTTCGCTGATAAAAATAGGGTGCTCGCTAATTAATTTCGGCCATATACGGGCATAATATAATATATGTAGAAGAATCTAGCGTCGTGAAAAAAAGAACCATTTGTTTCAAGTATTCTATTCAGAAAGATGTACGGACATAATTAATCAATGGGATACTTTTATGTCGTGAAAAAAGAATCATTTGTTTCAGCAGACGAAAATCCGATTGAAAACTTTTATTTATTTTTTTGGTGTTCAATAGCGATAGGGGCATTTTCATCTAAATTTGACCAAAAAAGAAATGATATGTACTAACACATGAGCATTTAATTTTTCTGGTACAAGTTTGTAGATTGGTAACACAATGTTAAAGGTCGATTTAAGGTTAATATTAGGGTTAGGTTAGGGTTAGTTTTGAGGTCAAGATTATATGTAAAACTATCTCCCGACATTTTTTATTAGCGCTTCAAACTAGATTTAAGCATGCGTTTCCTGTATTTTTCATATTCTTCATTTTCTTTGTGTCGCCGGGGCTGATAAAAAAATTTATTGGACTTGTGCCACCTGGCATTTTATTTGAATGTGAAAATCGACACGCAACTTGTTTCTGATATTAATTATTTTGGGTTACAAACACAAAAACACACTACGTACATGTACATAGTCCATGTAATGCATTATGTTGCAAAACATTTAGAATCTGATCAACTGGCATTTACACCATTTCTACATGTAATACTCACCCCCATATCGATATACATACACATACATAGACATTTACTTACCATTTACTAACGCTAACGCTAACGCCAAGATAAAGATAGCAATAACAATAATGACGATGTCATTTAGAATGTGTGTTCTATAAATACATGAATGAATTTTTATTTTAAACCAAATGGTTCGGCGAAAACCGTTCGGTCGGTAATTCCGAATACTTTGATCAAATCTAACTTTCAAAAGAAAAAAAGTATATATATAGTATTTTTTGCCATTTTTGAATTTCCTCATTATTCGCTTTATATATTAAAAATTAAATTCAATAATTAAAACTGCGCTTTAAAAAGAAAGTTTTCTCTTGATCGCTGCCTAAGTACACTCTCTCTTGGAGAAAATTTAAATTTAGCTTCAAGCCTATTAATTTGAAGAAATGGTACTGTGAATCTTGATTTATTCGTTTTACAGAAGCATAACGATAATTAGAAATCGGACTAAATTAAAGTTTAAATTTTCCGAGTACTTTGCGCAGCGCTGTTTATCCTCCTCAAGATAGTAAAACAATCAAACAAACAATAATTTGGTCTAGAACTTGAAGTAAATGTATGACAATGATAATAATAAATGAATAGATACCACATGATTTAAGGTAACACATGATCTACGTTAATAGCGATAGACACTACAATTCCCTTTAAATCCTTAGCAAATTTTTTTGGTTCCTCACGGACCCGATTCAGCATACGTCCTATTTTGCCGTTGCAAGCCAGCAATTGTGGATACGAGTTGATCTGAACCAGCATTGGAATAGTGAACTTTTGTATAACCTTACAGTGGCTCACACATGTAACGGAACACGAAAATTAATTTTCTATATAGCATTTTTATTTCCATGACTATTAATTTGGACAAAATAAAAAAGTGTTCATTTGAAACCCTGAAACCTCTAATATTTTTTAAAATAATTTGACAACAGATTA